AAAAACAAAAAAAAAAAAAAAGAAACGAAAAAAAACAAATAAAGAAGACAAGACAAAAAAAAAGAACACCCAAGAAAAAGTTCCCAGTCTCACTTTCCTGCCGCTTGCATTTGCACTCCAAGGGTTTTGTCCACAATTTTCAGCATGGTCAACCGAACCTTGCTAGTCTTCTCTGCGGCTGGCCCGTTCCCCGTATTCTGGTCCCTATCCCCCGTATCGTCCTGCTGTGGCGCGTCGCCCTTGTCCTCTTCGACGTGACCCTCCCCTTGAACACCATCAGGGTTTAAATCTCCGGGTCGCAGTCTCCCCTCTTCGGCAAGGCGCAGTTCGATGTTTGGGTGTGGCTCCTCCCTGACACAAGGGCAGGGGCAGCAGCAACAGATGTTGTCTACGAAACACCGCCACCATGGTCTCCGGGCTTTAAGAGCTTCCCATCAGTATAAAGTTCCACTCAAGAGCAGGGATCATACTACGGCGAGCCCGGGTTAATATGTGAATTCTTAAGAATTCACGAAACGTGTTTGGCCTGTACTCTGGGAACCTATATAATTGTAGATTTGTTAGCCATCTTTCAATATTAAACAATATTTAATATTGATTTTAACATACCTGTGCTTTGCCCGAAGGAGGCAAATCCGATACCATGTGTAGAATTCCCCAATTAGAATTATTGCGATGAGGCCCAATGCAGACGAGCCTATATACCAGGCTGGGTGTATGTTGGCCGGCATGCCTGTAGAGAGGGGGTTCGCTGCACCTGTGGTGGTGTTCATTTTGTTTTGGAACGATTTAATCGACTGCTTTCTTTAAAGGGTTGGTGTAATTGTACTTTTATTTGGGGGGAAAAAAAAAAAAAAATCGAAAAGTGTCTCGAAAGTGGTTTGAAAAGTGGTTTCATTATTCTATGTACAACACATCTAGAAATCCAAACAAACAGTCCCTCAAACTTGAACAGTATTGGAAGGTGTTGGCCCGCGTTGTCATGAAGAGATTTGCTGCAGTTTCCTTCAAAAAGCCAAAAGCATGGGGAGCTCGGCCAATGGTAGAGGGCACTGTTGATATGGCGACAACAGCATACATGGGGCAGTCTCGTGGGAGTGAGCCTCCCTAATTTGTAGCAGCTTTCGGCCGTGCGAGATCGGATATAAGTCGGTGTAATCGTCATCAGTGGGCCGAAGACTGGAGTGGTGAGAAGCAAGTTGGACGAAACCTGGGTATCAAAAATGCGATCCAAAGTCCAGAGCGATAAACTGGTGCATTACACGGAGGCTGGTCTCACTCCGGGGTCGGCAGAGGGTGTCGTCACTATATATATATGTACATAAATATATGTTTCTATGATTTGTAGCGCGATGCCAGCCAATTTGGGAAGTTGCTGGGTTGGGTCCAGCCTGCCGTAAGACGCCGGAAGCTGACAGTGTACATTACTAGTAGGTATGCATTGCTCTGGGAAGGATTGGGGTCGATAATAGTGTCTTCTTGCACTACCTAGAAAGTTGAACCTAGAAAAGATAGTGTCTATTCCGTTTGGAATACGTGTGAAGAGGATTGGCCGGTCTCGGGCATGAAAAGTTTGACGATGGTGATCATGATGAAATGGGGGTGATGGAACAATGATGCTGGATGACATATTCTACGAAGGATTTTCACTATGTTACGCTCGTCCATGATCCTTTTTTTCACAGTTTATCCCCGAAGATAACAAACCCCTATACATAACTACAGTTAACAATGCCTCTGAAAGATTGTCTTGCAAAGAGATTTGAGCCGCTTCTCCGGCGTCTCGAGGATAGCCTTGAATACTGCGGCAACTTACAAAAAGCTCAAAAACTTCGCCAGAAACAACAGCAATGGCGCACCTATCAACCTCAACTTCGGGAGCGCTTCGAGTCCTACTACTTAACCGAGCATGTCCTCCGCTGCCTCATACAGCGCGAGGCCTATTTACAAATTAGGCATAACACTCTCTTCCAGCAGCTGAACGAGAGCCGGTCAGTAGCAGATACATTGGTGACAGAGATGGAGAGTATTCAAAAAGACCTCCAACATTTCAATCGGGGTATTTGGAATGCGGAACTAGAGATACAGAAGATACTCCGAAACTTTCCAGATGGGCCCTTGAAGCGTGCTCTGTATGCTCGTCGCCGAACACGCGATTGGTATCGTTCAGAATGGCTACAGACTGAATGTGCAGACTTGGGTGGATGTTGTGGGCGAGGGTGTGGTTGTTGCACGAGACCTCGAGGCTCTAAACGTCCAGATCATCTTGGGCATTGCACGGTGACGTGCAAGTGTTGCGAGGAGGTGAGAGGATTCAGTATTGATTTCCGTGTTGAGGGGGACCCGACCTTAGTGGAGTGGGAAATTGGGGAGGCAGACATCAAAGGGTTGGGTTCTTCCTATGGAAAATCCTTGATTAATGCTTATGTCTGGGGACTTTGATCGTTAACCTTTTGTGCTCTTGTTCTCACTTTCGAGGAAGAATATCAATGCTTTTGTTGCTCTATCTTATGACTAGTACTGGCGTCATTCACGCGACTGTTATGAAAGGAAATATTGCAGTATGCCAGAAATGGTCAAGGAGTAGTATTAAAACGCCGGACTGAAGGCCAAGGGATAAGTTGTATGGAGATTAATGCCCTATTTCCCTCCACCCCTTGCGAAAGTCAACCACTGTACCTGGGTCACCGTGTCCGGAGCTCTTCCAAACTATGGATATATACAATATCCCCTTCATGTAGTTCCAGGGAGTTGGGATATCCCCGGCTATCTTGCGGCCTGTCTTGTATTTCCCTCCTTTCTTTAGCGTCTCTCTTTGGTAATAGTATTGGCATTGACGCTGCAAATGATTCCCTCCGAATGAATTCACGAAGGAGCATTCCCCTTCGACAAATACGATGACGATTCACATGCCCACTTGCTATGCGTGATGAATAACGCGGTGACTTAACTCTGTGATTCATTCTCTTGTCTGGGAATAGCCCTTCATCTATATATTTCTTCTCTCGATCCTCTGTCTCGTCCTCTCCTTCTCCATTCTATCCTCCAGCCTCCCTCAGTAGGAACCCTTCCACCAGCCCTCTCCTTTCTGGCATACGGTGCTGACTTGTCTTATCTTCCTTGGTCATTTGGCACATGTAAAGCTGGCGGATTCACACCTCTTAGTATGATTTGATTTACATACTATCTACTAGCAAAAAGGTTCAGAAGCAAAGAGCGAGGCAAAGCACACAATGCCAGTGCGGCCAACACTGGCATCTATCATAAATCCTTCTGCCTCCGCCACTGCACCAGCAGGAGTAAGCCCAGAGTGGCGCCTTGGTTATTCTGGGTTCGGGGTACGTGGCCTCATAATAATAGGGGCAGTAGCAACATGGCTTGCAATAGGATTTGTAAACCAAATATCGGTATGTATTATCTATATTTATCTTTGGTTCACTTTGAAAGAGGACTAATAATATGTTGTACTATTATACAGACCTCCAATGGGAGAATACATGCCCCAAACCATTGACGATTTCGAAAGGGCATATACCCTAATACGGCCTCCACGTATGATAATCTTGGATCTTGAGTGTAATCAATACTAATAGGAACATATTATAGCCAGAAGAAAATGGTGGATAGTACTACACGAGAATCTTTGTTGTTGCTGGTTTGAAGCCAGACAGTAAACGGTCAGACTGTCGGGAGGCCAGGATTTTCCACCCAGTGTACGACATTTGATCAGGATTTTGCAGATGCGTGTGCATCGTTAGACCTCGCCGGCCTAGTCCGACGAAACATACGGTAAAAGGAGGAATTCCAGCTGTTCCCCCTGGCCCTCTCCCCTGGGTAGAATGTCATAGGGCAGGTAAGTTGCCTGACGCAAACATCCATCTAGGCTGGTACATCGCGTACTCGGGACTGAGTCTCCTGGGCCTAATCTTCGGCGACTTTGTCACCTGGCGTATGGCACGTGTATGTATTGACGATATTCAGTTTTATGCACGTTGAAAGAAAGCTAACAATAGATATTATGATATAGACACCAACTGGGGGGAATTTACATCCCAGCCCACTTCAAGTAGCGTGCCTATCGTCGAGCCCAAATGGCACGCAATATATTCAGCCACCGGAGTTGGTGGGTTAATTATAATCGGTGGCTTTGCCACATTATTTGCAATATTACTACTGAAAGCCAAGAACAGGTATGTATTATCTATATTCAGTTTTATGCATATTGACAAAAAGCTAATGATATCTACATGACATAGGCACCCTTTGGGGGAATATACCCCAACAACCTATGAAGATTTTGAACGAGCATACAGGCTCACGCGCCCTCCACGTAAGATGACCGGTGATCTCGAGTAGAATCTTATGGCACGGAGAAAGTGGTGGAGGGTGCTCGGAGAGAACATTCTGTGTCGTTGGGCCAAACCCAAAAAGGTGTCCATGAACGACCTCCTTGAAGAAGGAAGGTTCCCGCCTGCCCCCTCCGCTGGGCCTCCCGGTGCACCCTTCGCTGGGTCCCCTCGACCGCTTTATGCACGTTTCTGGAGGCGGCTCAAACACAGCACAAGGCGCAAGGCGAGCATCCCATGAGACTTTGTTTGTTTTCTTTTTTGTTTTTTACTTTTTTCGTTTTTCTTTTCCACCAGCGAGAATGGAAAGTATAGTTAGATTAGATCAAGGAGACAATGTCACCAACCGCTCTGCTGACATCGTGACGACGATATCCAAGTCTCTCGACATCAGCTGGATCTGGTTCATATGACACCATATATCCTCGGCCCGAGTAAATGACCGCATCAGGTAACAGCGGGTGTTCTTGATCGAGCGATGGAAGTGTCGTGCTATTACCGACGGCGTCGAAGAATTTCTGGAAATAACTTGCGAAGCTGAGATTCTCGTCGCCTAGTAGGTACGCCTTCCCCGGCTCACCGTGTACTAAAGCACCTGCAATTGCTTCCGACAGGGACTGGGTTGACATGAAGTTCGATCCACCACGAGGACCAAAAAATGGGATCCCCAGCTCCCCTTTAGCGTAGCGTATGTAGGCTTCAAACACGGGCGTACTCATTCCGGGCACGATCCCTACGACGAACGGCGCCTCCAGAGCGCATGCAATGAACTCCTCTCCAGCAAGACCAAGGATACCGTCGGTGGCCAGCTTCCGTGAGCGAACGTATGCGTTGGAATCAATCGATGCTTTCGCAATGTGCGGGTAGAAGCTTCCAATATAGACAAAGCGCTTTACGCCGGCATCACGCGCTAAACGAGCGAACCGTGGGACGGCCTCACCATTCACGTGGAGAACATGCTCATCGAAGTTCTCTCCCGGTGGTGCATGACGGATATCATGGCCGGCAGCGAAGACAACTGCATCGAAGTCGGTTAATTGGTCCGTTGTGAAAGTGTCTTGGACGAAGTCTCCCTGGATATATGGAAGCCGGACAAGAGCGGTTGTCTCTGGCGGAGGGCGACGACCTGCGATTGAAACATCATGACCAATTGATTGCAGGTGTAGAGCTGCGTGTCCACCAATGGTCCCCGTACCGCCAACGACAAGGACTCTCATTGTATCAGCAAGTCGGATATTGCGGGGAAAGTGAAATGAAAGTGATTGATGCAGTGAGCCTGTTCACGAAGAATGACTACCGTTGAAAGTACACAAGGCCACACAGCGTTTATAATCAGATATGAAGCTATGAAGCTGCGCTTCTTTCTTGGTTTATCAACGGATAAGAGGTTGTGCTGCACAACGATGAATATGCAGCGCTGGGCAAGTATATCGTCTCGTATAAGAAGGCTGCACGTGTCCGGGATCGGATCTTACCGAGATCCGGCTTGGCGATGGACTATTCCTCTTTGGACAGCGAGATGAAGCTAAGTTCAAACTCGGTACATAGTACTAATTCCGAGGTCCCGAGCCCCGAGTCGCGTTGTTATCATCTCGAGAATGTGGTAGAAACAATGCAAATGATATGATGTCCTTGATACTGTTCGAAATGAGGGATACACTAATCTAAGGTTGTGCGTTCCAACTTCAACTAGTTTCCCAGGTGGACACAATGTATCTTTGCATCAAAACAACTATATATATATCGAGGCTTTGTAATGGCTTCACCATCCGACCAATACTTACCTCCAGGCGGGGGAATGAAAGTGATGAAAGAAAAATCACGATATGTAAATAGTTCCAAACTGCAAATAGACCGGTGCAGTAGATTCATACCTACAGGGCTACTTGAAGCGCATCCTTGAGTCGTATAGGCGATAGCTCGGCTACCCGATGTTGGTCTAAAGTGTTGGAGTTGCGCCTCTTGCACTACATACATTGAAGTACGAGGAAAACGTGAGCTCGTTAGCAAGATCCAGTACATATGTCACAGGATATGAATTGCCATTCAGGAGTCTAGACAGCAACAAAGCTCCATAGCAGGCTACTCTGCCATGTTAACTTCGACATTCCAAGTTTTTAACACTTATTTAGAAGCTAAACTCTAAATGATTGGCCATCTCTGTCTGTAAGGGACCCGAGCGCCCACTGATGCCTCAATAAGGCAAAGCTGCCACTTGCGGATAACTCAATGGGTTTGAGGAATGGAATAGATATATTTGACTTCCCTAACGCACGGGGTACACGTCACTGGTAAATTAACAAGGGAGATTAAGGAGTTATAGTAATGTTAACATAAGGTTAAACACAAGAATGGTTGCTAATTACGATCTACAAAGGAGGCTCTCTACAGTGAGGCCTTTGAACACAGTGTCTATATCCCTTTCCTTATCATGCACATACCGTGTTCGCACATCATACTTTTCAAAAGGCAAAAGGTTGCATTGATTAGCGGCGATTGCCGCTTTCCCCGACCTGCACTAACCTTGGCAGAGATTGCCTGTGGGAGGATCGACGGCACATTGGTCATTATATGAAAGGTTTAGTTAGGTTCGGCAGTACTTGCATGTTTGTGCGTCCAGCTGAAACATGCACTAGACATAAAGGCTATTTGACGTGACATGAGTGTTCACTGTTGTCTTGACAGCTCGGTTCGTGCAGCGCCCCACATCGCGATGCAGCGCTGCTCTACTGTGTAGTGAACTGTACATAGTTGATATTCCACTGGAGCATTCGTAGAATTCATCAAGAGATATGGCTCAGTTGTTCGTAACGCCTCAAATATGCCTGCAGAAACTGGCTGGGTCCATCACCTAAAAATGATGTGGGCCAGGTGGAGACTTTTCAGGGAGAGCATCATTGGGCGGGCAAGAGGACAAGATAATGGGCCATTTAAACTT